AGGTGGGCCTGTGTTGCATAAGAAAGCAGGCTGAGCAGGGGCCAGGGGAGCAAGCCAGTAAGCAGCGTTCCTCCATGGCCTGTGCTGCAGCTCCTGCCTCTAGGTTCCTGCCCTGAGTTCCTACCTTGGGCTCCCTGATGAACTGCAACCTGGGAGATGTAAGACAAATAAACTTTTTCCTCCCCAAGTTGGTATTGGTCAGAGTATTTTGTCACAGCAATGAAGAACAAAGTAGAACACATGGGCATTGCATGTACATGGTATGCTTACATATATGCAAGCAAAACACTCATACACAAAAAATAAATTAAAATAAATAAATGGGTCATGTTGCCCAGGTAGTAGGACACATGCTAGAGCCAAGAACATGGTTCCATAACTGGTCATATGCTGTGTGACCGTGGACAGGTTACCTGACCCCTCTGGCCTCAGTTTCCTCACCTGTAAGTAGAGGTTCTGATGATGCCACTTTCACAAGGGCTTGATGGAAAGAAGATGGTGAGGGTGTGAGGAGCAGGGACCAGTGGCAACACTGGCCATGTGCTCCTGCACCCATAGTCATCATCTAAGTCTTTGGTGGTACAATGCCTTCCAGCCTTGCTCCTGACATTGTCTGGATGGACAAGAGTCTGGACCCAGCCTCTAGGCCTCAGTTTCCCCACCTGTGAGATGGGACGGTGGCACCTGCTTCCCCCAGCTGGTGAGTCAAGTCAGAGAGGAATGAAGGGTAACTGTGAGCCCAAAGGTAATGGCCCAGGTGCCAGACTAGTTCTGCAGGCTCTTGGGGCCACAGATAGCACCTGCCAAGGCTGCCAGAAGAGCTACCCAGTCTCTAAGAGACAGTTGGGTAAGTCAGCACAGCAGGCTGGGGTAGTGGCTGTGCGCTCTATAAATTTGCTTAAGTCATTGAAGGGACTTTATGCTGTATACATTATGCCTCTTTAGAGCTGTAAAAAGATACACATTGTGTCAAATGGTGATAAACGCCACAAGGAGATGGGAAAGTGGAGGGGGCCTGTGCTGAGTGCATGTTTACTTCTTCGCTGAAGTCCCAGCTCCCCAGCCAGCCTCAGCACCTGTCTGCAGTAATGGCCCAGTTATCCAGCTGGGCTGGGCAGAAGAACTATCCTCAGCAGTGGGGTATCTGCCCTAGGATGGGACTCCCCTTCTCCTCGCCCTCACCCCCTTCCCAGTGACTTTCTAGCAGGTTCACCCTGCACTTCATAGCACCCGCTTGCTGCAGCCTCCGTTGCCCTGGAGACAGCAGTCTGTCTCCGTGGCGACAGTGGAAGGAGGCAGCCCAGGATAGTGTATGCAGTCCTGACTGTAGGTAGTAGAGGACTGGGTAGGGGGCAACCTGCTGGAGATGGGTGGGGGAGGGGCTTGTGTTCCTGCAGTGGTCAGAATGGGCCAAGTCAGATGATGAAGGACTGCCAAGCCCAGCTCTTCTGTGAGAACTTGAGTCCCTGGGTGGCTTTTGTCAGCCTGGCACCTCCAGATCCCCTAGACTAACTAGTTGACTGACATTATCAACCAATAGATCCAGATAGTAATACTAAGTTCTGAGTGTTTGGGTTTCACCTGCATGGAGATTGATGAGCTGGCTGCCCAGCACCTCCAAATGTCCTCACTCTACTAGGGGTGCTGAGGTAGGTGGCCACACTGGCAGAACCACCCCTCCAAACCAAAGTCCAGTGCAGTCAGCCCCTAACAGGACTCAGCAGTGTGGAGAGGGGCATGAGGAAGAGGATCTGGCTTAGGAGGAGCTATGGCATATGCTGGCCAGACTTTCTCTGTGTGGGGAGCAGGACATCTGCGACTGCAGGTAGTCCTGCCAGCCCAAAGCAGGCATAGGAGGTGCCCGCTAGCCCCTGTGTTCTACACAGCCACTCTCTGCCATTGCAGCTTAGGGAGGTAGGGTGACCCTCCTTTATCAAGCCCCAGCTCCCGAACCATGTTGCACTCTAGAAAGAGGGGCTGATCCTCGCTCATGTGCTCTGTGTGTGGACTGAAGAAGCTCCAGAAGGCTTTTGGCAGGAGGGAACAGGTATCCATGCAGCTGAGTCCCTGCAGCATGAGCATGTGGGCTTGAAAATATGTGCATATGTGTTTTCTGACACCTGAAAACAACCAAAATGTTATCATGGGTTTATTTATTTTATGTATATGAATGTTTTGTCTGCACATGGTATGTACGCCCATGTGTACAATGCCCATGGAAACCAGAAGAGGGCACTGAATCCCCTGGAATTGGAGTTAGGGACCATTGTTAGCCACCATGTGGGTGCTGGGAACCAAACCCAGGTCCTCTGCAAGAACAGCCAGTGCTCTTAACTGCTGAGCCATCTGTCTAGCACTAAAGCGTTTTTGGTTTTGGTTTTTTTGTGTGGTTTTTTTTTTTTTGGTTTTTGGTTTTTGGTTTTTTGGGTTTTTTGGTCTTTTTGAGATTGTGTCTCCCTGTAGCCCAGCTGGCCTGGAACTTACGATGTAGACCAGCCTAACCTTGAATTCACATAGATTCTTCTGCTTCTGCCTCCCTCCCAAGTGCTGGGATTAAAACCATGTGCCACCATACCTGGCATCTAAAACATTTTTTAAGAGGGGGAACCAGGGCTGCAGAGATGGCTCAGCAGTTAAGAGCACTGACTGCTCTAGCAGAGGACCCAGGTTCAATTCCCAGCACCCACATGGCAGCTATGAATTGTCCTTAACTCCAGTTCCAGGGGAGTCCGACGCCTTCTTCTGACCTCCATGGCATTGCATGACACAGGTGCACTCACATACATGCAGGCAATACACTCATACACATAAAATAAAAATAATAAATCATTTTTTAAATATATTTTAAAGCCCGGCATGGTGGTGCACTCTTTTAATTCCAGCACTCAGGAGGCAGAGGCAGGTGGATCTCTGTGAGTTCAAGGCCAGCCTGGTCTACATAGTGAGTTCGTGAGTGTTTTTTTTTTTTTTTCTGTAATTAGTAAATAATACCTTTCAACTGGAAAATGTATATATGTATGTATGTATGTATGTATTTTTTTTTAAGAGGGAGAATCGAGACATAGTCAAGACAGGGTCTTTCCCAGGCTGGCCTCAAACTTGCAGTCCTCCTGCCTTCCTTTCCTAAGTGTTGGAATTACATGTGTACACTACCATGGCCGAGTACTGTTTAAACTTTCTGAAAAATGTGTGAATCCAAAAATGCATATTTTAAGTTAGTCATCTCTGAGTAGCTTAGCATTTGCAGCAGGGACTAACCATGAGCTGTGCTCAGTGATGCTACTGATGACAGGTGTGTGTGTGCTGTGTGCTCTGGGGAGGCAGAGCCCAAAGTGGGACGGCAGGCAGATCGGCGGGGCCCACACCGGGGGCAGGGTTGCTACTTCCAGGCCCCTCTGGAGGTGCTGCCCTGAAATTGAAGGTCTTGTCCTTCAGGCTTGGAAGGGGTCTCCAGCATCCCCAAAACACTTGCAGCTTCCTAGCAGATTGAGGGGAAGTTTAAGGTAGGATGGATTATGAAACAGAAAGACCCCAGCAAGGACTCCTGTTAACTGGAGAGGGGAGCTACCCAGTACAATGCTGATATATTCAGATTGCATGCAGATCATCTAGGCTGGCCCTCTTGGCCAATGTGGCTTGCCCTTGATTGAGGCCTCAAGAAGTCCTTGGAAGGGAAACCCAGTTCCCACTACACCTGCTTGGCTCCCAGGCAACAGCCATCTGTAGCAGTTCCTGGCCCGGGAGAGTCAGGTTGGATGGCACCCTCAGGACCTGTGAGGCCAGAGAGGGATATTAATGAGTCAAGACACTTTTTTTAAGTGCCCATCAAAAAGAAATGGGTTGTTGGGTGTGGTTGTGCACACCTATAGTCCCAGCACTTGGGAGACAGAGGTAGGTGGATCTTTGTGAGTTTGAGGCCAACATGGTCTACATAGCAAGTTCCAGCCCAGCTGGGGCTACAGGGAGACCCAGTTTCAAAAAGACAGAAAAAGAAAAAAAGGCATAGGCAGGAAGATCTCTGTGAAATTGAGGCCAGCCTGGTCTACATAGCAATTCCAGATCAGCTGGGGCTACAGGGAGACTGTATCTTAAAAAAAAAAAAATCTGTAGAGTGCTTGCCTAACATGCATGAAGCCTTGGGTTGGATCCCTAGCATCACATAAACCAGTCATAGTCGTGTATGCCCAGCACTTGGGCAGTAGAAGGATTGGAAATATATGGTCATCCTTGGCTGCATAGTGAGACCGAGGCCAGGCTGAGCTACACTGAGACCCTGTCTCAAAAGTGGCAGGGAGGGCATGGTTGTACCTGCCTTTAATCCTAGCACTCAGGAGGCAGAGCAGGCAGGTCTCTGTGAGTTCGCCTGGTCTATATAGTGAGTTCCTGGCTAGCCAGGACTACATAGTAAGACACTTTTTTTTGTTTGTTTATTTGTTTTTGTCTTTTTGAAGCAGGGTCTCCCTGTAGCCCCAGCTGGCCTGATACTCACTATGTAGACCAGGCTGGACTCAAACTGACAGACACAGAGATCCACCTGCCTCTGCCTCCTGAATGCTGGGATTAAAGGCATGTGCCACCATGCCTGGCTGAGATACTGTTTTAAAAAAGAAGAGGGGGCCTGGCGTAGTGGCAAATGCCTTTAATCCCAGCACTTGGGAGGCAGAGGCAGCCGGATCCTCAGTGAGTTTGAGGCTAGCCTGGTCTACAGAGTGAGTTCCAGGCAGCTGGAGCTACAGGGAGACCCTATCTCAAAAAGACAAAAAAGCGGGGGGGGCTGGGGAGATGGCTCAGCGGTTAAGAACCTCACAGGGTCTCCCTGTAGCCCCAGCTGGCCTGATACTCACTATGTAGACCAGGCTGGACTCAAACTGACAGAGGGGATGTAACTCCAGTTCCAGGGGATCCGACAGTCTTTTCTGTCCTCCACAGGCATTGCACGACACGGGTGCTACTTACCTACATGCAGACAATACATGCATACACATAAAATAAAAATAATAGTGCCTCGCTTCAGCAGCACATATACTAAAATTGGAATGATACAGAGAAGATTAGCATGGCCCCTGTGCTGTACAATAAATGTATTTAACACCAATAAAAAAATAATAAAAAATAAAAATAAAAACAAATAATAAAAATAAATAATAATTTTTTTTTTTAAAGAAGTTGGGAAGCCGCGTGTGGTGGTGCATGCCTTTAATCCCAGAACTTGGGAGGCAGAGGCAGGCAGATCTCTGTGAGTTCAAGTCCAGCCTGGTCTACATAGTGAGTTCCAGGAGAGCTGGGGCTACAGGGAGACCCTGTCTCAAAAAGGGGTGGGGGGGGAGCTACTAGAGAGATGGCTCAATAGTTAAGAGTAATGGCTGCTTTTACAAAGGACCTGGGTTCGATTCCCATCACCCACATGGCAGCTAACAGTGTTCCCTAACTCCAGTAACAGGGGCTCTGACACCTTATCCTGGCCTCCGAGGGCATTGCATGCATGCGGCACACTTACATGCATGCAAGCAAAACACTCATGCACATAAAATAATTTTTTAACAGAGAGGGCAGGGAGAAAAGAAGGAACGAAGTCTACAGGTTGGGCCCTATGTGTCACCTTGGTTTGTGCCTTCCTTGGAGGAAGGCAGTTTTGGCTCAAAGCATTCTACCTTAAAACCACCTCTGGGTCCTCCTAAGCCAGCCAGGGTGGCTTCAGGATTGTCCCAGCAGCCTGCGTGTGGACTTCAGCACCATCTGGTGGTAGATGACAAACACTGACCCTGCCCAAACTGACCTCCATCTCCAAGGCATCAAGTTTGTTAGCGGCATACAAAGTGATTTAAGGATGGGGATATTGGGGTCAGGGAAGGCCAGGGCTAAAGAGGCCTGCCCCCTGTGGTAGTGGTGAGCCTAGGCTGCTCCTTCTCAGGTGGCTACACAGTGATCACCCCTTACTCTGTTCTGTTCCCTCAGGAGTGGCTGAGCAGGTTTGGTTACCTGCCTCCAGCAGACCCAGCAACAGGGCAGCTGCAGACCCAGGAGGAATTGTCCAAGGCCATTGCTGCCATGCAACAGTTTGGCGGCCTGGAGACCACTGGTATCCTAGGTCAGTTTTATGGAAGACAGCAGGAGGCACCATGGTCCCATCAGGGCTGCACCAGCCTAGCCACAACCCTCCTGGCTGCTCAGGCTCTTGCCACTAAATACTTAACAGCTCAGACTGGCCAGAGCCATGAACTTGGGTGGGGCTTGAGCACACCCAGCCCTGAGGAAATCCCAGGGTTTCCAGCTGGGGAGGTGAAGCTAGGCCTTGCTGCTGACCAGTGTCTACCATGCAGATGAGGCCACTCTGGCCCTGATGAAGACTCCTCGCTGTTCCCTGCCGGACCTGCCTCCTGGGGCCCAAGCACGAAGGAAACGCCAGACTTTACCACCAACCAAGTGGAACAAGAGGAACCTTTCGTGGAGGTGTGTGGCCAGGGTGGGGGCTCCCCAGGGTGGCATCTCTGTCCTGGTGCCCTGTGCTGGCTATAGGAAGCACTCATCAGCCAGGGTACTTAGATGCCTAGGGTTCTGTGTTCCAGACGCCAGAAATGCAAAGTCAAGGTCTGGACAGGGATGGTGGGGGGGGTGGGGGGGGTATCATGCAGGCTAGGGAGAAGTGCCCCAGGCTCCTTCACAGCCCACCCTGGCCCTTCCTCTGCTTCTGTCTACCCATGGTCCTTTCCTTTTGTTCAAGAGACTCACTAAGTTAAGAGCCAAACATGAGCCATCCAGTCAGACCCTGCCTCAATGATGGCTACAGAGGCCCCCTTTCAAATTGGGTCTACTTTGAGATTGCAGAGTATGTGGATTGGATGGAACACTAATTGGCCCAGCATACCTAGGCTGACCCCTTCTGCCATCCCTGGGCAGTTTAGAGGTCCAATGTATAGACTATGTGCAGAAGGTAGAGCAGGGAGCATAATGCAGCCTGCCCAGGCCCATCTCAGAAGCTAGCTCTTGCTTGTCACCCCTGGACTCACATGCCTCCATCTCCTGAGGACTGGAAAAAAGGCCAAAGATAGGGGACACCCAAGCCAGGGAAGGGCAACACATCACCCTAGAGGGAGGTCCAGGAAGATGTCAAGGACAGCCGGCCTCCACTCTGACCCCTGCCCTAGGGTCAGAACATTCCCACGGGACTCACCCCTGGGCCGGGACACAGTGCGTGCACTCATGTACTACGCCCTCAAAGTTTGGAGTGACATCACACCCTTGAACTTCCATGAGGTGGCAGGCAACATTGCTGACATCCAGATCGACTTCTCCAAGACTGACCACAACGATGGCTACCCCTTTGATGGCCCTGGTGGCACAGTGGCCCATGCCTTCTTTCCGGGTGACCACCATACTGCGGGGGACACTCACTTTGATGATGATGAGGCATGGACCTTCCGTTCCTCAGGTGCATGTGGGACTGGTGCTGAGTCTGTGGGATGCCAGGCCTGGGCAACCCTGTGGGCCCTGCTGACCCCACAATAACATCCTGACCCTGTAAGAGCAAGATGCAGTTATGACCCCCAGAACGAATCCTAAATGAGGCTTAAACAGTTCAGCCCTGCCCCACTCCTTAGTTAGCTAGTGCTGGGTCATTCTCATGACAGAGATCCACTTGAGCATCTACGGCTAGCCTGGCTCTGCCCACCCCTTCCTTTTGCACAGGACCCCAGACCTCTTGTGTGGGGTCTTGGGGTTTGGCACCCACTACATCAGAGCATGGGGAATCCTACCAACCCTGGGGTGTCTCCACTGTGGTCTGACACAAAAAAGGGTTGGCTCCCATACCATGGAGCACAGAGGGCCCTAGGTGACCCCCTACAAACCCCATGGGTCCTCTATAGAAGCCCAGAATGTCCTCAAAAGTCCTGAAGCACCTATGAAGCTGGATGGAGCCCTAGCACAGCCAAGACACAGGTGACCCATGGGTTCCACCTCTGTATATCAACCCCACCACTAATGAGGGGTCCTGTCCTCTCTGCTCATGTGGCTTCTATTTCCCCAGATACTCATGGGATGGACCTGTTTGCGGTGGCTGTCCATGAGTTTGGCCATGCTATTGGGCTGAGCCATGTTGCTGCCCCAAGCTCCATCATGCAGCCCTATTACCAGGGCCCTGTGGGCGACCCACTACGTTATGGGCTTCCCTACGAGGACAGGGTGCGTGTCTGGCAATTATATGGTGAGTGTCCCCCAAGCCCAGCAAGGGCCACCTGGAGGGTAGGGCTAGGAGCCAGAACTCCAGGTGATTGAAATCTCTGCTCATGGCTGTGGTCTCTGTATAACCCTGTGGGTGAATACTGGCTGCTGGGAATAGAACAGTGGAGAGAAGGGCCCAAGGCATAGGATACAGGCTGGGCCTCTGCCTTCTCAAGCTGATCCCTGTGGTACTCAGAGCCCTAGAGAAAATCCCTATCTGTCCCCTGTTTGAAGAGTTTGGCATCAGCAAAATAGACCCAGGCCTACAAAGCACTGTGCCTATGATAAATTAACTGTCTAATCTCACAACTCCTGAGGGAAAAGCAGCAGTCCCCATGTGTAGAGAGAAAATGGAGACGATGAAGGGGGTGGAGACAGCTTGACTAGGTTAGCCCATAGAAGTATATAAGACTGATTCAGGCACCTTGCCCAGCATAGTCAACAGGACTGAAAGGCAGGTGGCCCGCCCAGGATAGCCCCATGGGAACCAGAGGCACAAGGCTTTCCCAGAGTAGTCCCACGGCAGTGTACATAGCCAAAACAGGAGTCTGGTGCAGGGCCCCTCCCTGTTGGGACACATGAAGGTGGCCCCACCCCCACTCCATTTGGGAGATGGTACCCTAGGGAGGGGATGGTTGGTATAAAGAATGCCCATCTTGGTCCCAGAGGAGCCAGGCTGTCCCCAGCCTTCACCATGTACCACCCCAGCCTGCTCACCCATGTTCTCCTTGCCACTCCCTACCCCTGCATCCGTGTGTGGCGGTTCTTCTTTTTTGCAGAATTTCCATTTATTTATTTATTTATTTATTTAATTTTTTTTTTTGGTCTTTTTGAGACAGGGTCTCCCTGTAGCCCCAGTTGTCCTGGAACTCACTATGTAGACCAGGCTGGCCTTGAACTCACAGAGATCCGCTGCCTCTGCCTCCAGAGTGTTGGGATTAAAGGTGTGCGCCACCACGCCCAGCCCTATTTATTTATTATGTGTGTAAGCCTTATAAATGTATATAAGTGTGCCACATGCATGCAGGTGCCTGCGGAGGCCAGAAGAAGCCATTGGATCCCTTGGAACTGGAATTACAGGTGGTTGTGAGGCACCAAGAGAGTGCTGGAAACTAAACCCAGGTCCTCTACAAGAGCAGCAAGCTCTCTAACCACTGAGCAGTCTCTCCAGCCACTGTATGTTTCTAATGCAGTAAAATCACCCATCTTCAAGGGTGTACTCACATTTGGCAAAGCTGTGTAGGCACTACCCTGTCTAGGACTAAAACTCTCACCATCCTGCACCAGCTCCAAAGGAGACCCATCATGTGCCTCTCAGTCCCTGGCAACCACAAGTGCATGTTCTGTCTTCTGAGGATTGCCTGTGGTGGACACTTTGAGGAAAGGGAACTGTGAAGAGTAGAGTCTTCTGTGACTGGCCTTTTCCCCTAAGTATGGTATTTTCTGTTTTTGTTTTGTTTTGTTTTATTGTTTTTTTGAGACAGGGTTTCACTGTACCCTCAGCTGGCCTGGAACTTGTTCTGTAGACCCCAGCTGGCCTTGATCTCACAGAGATCCTTCTGCCTCTGCCTCTCAAAAGCTGGGATTAAAGGTGTGCACCACCATGCCCAGCTATGTGTGGTGTTTTCAGGATTTGACAGTCACAGGCATCAGACTTGGTTCCCTTCCATGGCTGAATAAGTGTACCTGCCACTCTATCTGGTGATGGGGCACTGGGCTGTCAGACTTTCATGGCTGACACTCTGGACATTGGCACAGAGTTCTTGCTTTATGTCTCCACAGGTGTGCGGGAGTCCGTGTCTCCTACCGCACAACTGGACATCCCAGAGCCTGAGGAACCGCCCCTCTTGCCAGAGCCCCCCAACAATCGGTCCAGCACCCTGTAAGCCATGTCCCTTGTCACTATACCTTGGCCAGCCTTTTCCATGGTGCCCAATATGCTCCAGGGTCCTGAGGAAGGCACAGCTGCATGTACTGATCTGGACACTGGTTTCTTCTCTTAACCTGCCCAGCAGGGGAGGGGAGAGAGAAAGGGACTTGCTGTCCACAGGGGGCTGCAACCATGTGAATTTCAAAGTTTGTCTCACACAGCCTGGTTTACCAGGCACAAGATCCTGAGGGCTAGGAGATCACAGAAGGGTGACTGATCTGTCACCCAGTGCAAGGCATCTTGTCTCAGTGTTGGTGCCTTGGCAGGGCTGGCTGGGAGCTGGACTTGGCCAGACAGTCCTCCAGGGACATGTTTGTGCCCTGTCCCTGGGGTTTGGGTTCACAGCATAGCTGCTGGGTTCCTTAAGAGAGGGACTATCTTGAAAGTTAGCATAGCCAGAGTTCAAGCACCAGCCACAGCTTTCTGTTACCCAGTCAAAAAGTCCCATGGAAACTAACTTCAGCCTTAGAATTAAAGCACTCATAACCTGTCTAAGTTGAAGGTGACACAGGCACCTCTCAGGCCTGTCCCTTCTATTCCCATACCCCACACACTGTACTTCCACCTGGCTACCTTGCCAGGCCCACATATATTTGGGCTTCTGGTTTGGTTTCTAAGGTGAGTGGTCCTGCACTTGTCTTAGCTGTACACTGTGAATTGCTGCTGCCATCAAAACACTGTTCCAACATTTTTTGTTCTGATTTTCTTTTTTGTTTTGTTTTGTTTTGAGGCAGGGTCTCCTTCTAGCCCCAGCCTGTCTAGGACTAAAACTCTCACCATCCTGCACCAGCTCCAAAGGAGACCCATCATGTGCCTCTCAGTCCCTGGCAACCACAAGTGCATGTTCTGTCTTCTGAGGATTGCCTGTGGTGGACACTTTGAGGAAAGGGAACTGTGAAGAGTAGAGTCTTCTGTGACTGGCCTTTTCCCCTAAGTATGGTATTTTCTGTTTTTGTTTTGTTTTGTTTTATTGTTTTTTTGAGACAGGGTTTCACTGTACCCTCAGCTGGCCTGGAACTTGTTCTGTAGACCCCAGCTGGCCTTGATCTCACAGAGATCCTTCTGCCTCTGCCTCTCAAAAGCTGGGATTAAAGGTGTGCACCACCATGCCCAGCTATGTGTGGTGTTTTCAGGATTTGACAGTCACAGGCATCAGACTTGGTTCCCTTCCATGGCTGAATAAGTGTACCTGCCACTCTATCTGGTGATGGGGCACTGGGCTGTCAGACTTTCATGGCTGACACTCTGGACATTGGCACAGAGTTCTTGCTTTATGTCTCCACAGGTGTGCGGGAGTCCGTGTCTCCTACCGCACAACTGGACATCCCAGAGCCTGAGGAACCGCCCCTCTTGCCAGAGCCCCCCAACAATCGGTCCAGCACCCTGTAAGCCATGTCCCTTGTCACTATACCTTGGCCAGCCTTTTCCATGGTGCCCAATATGCTCCAGGGTCCTGAGGAAGGCACAGCTGCATGTACTGATCTGGACACTGGTTTCTTCTCTTAACCTGCCCAGCAGGGGAGGGGAGAGAGAAAGGGACTTGCTGTCCACAGGGGGCTGCAACCATGTGAATTTCAAAGTTTGTCTCACACAGCCTGGTTTACCAGGCACAAGATCCTGAGGGCTAGGAGATCACAGAAGGGTGACTGATCTGTCACCCAGTGCAAGGCATCTTGTCTCAGTGTTGGTGCCTTGGCAGGGCTGGCTGGGAGCTGGACTTGGCCAGACAGTCCTCCAGGGACATGTTTGTGCCCTGTCCCTGGGGTTTGGGTTCACAGCATAGCTGCTGGGTTCCTTAAGAGAGGGACTATCTTGAAAGTTAGCATAGCCAGAGTTCAAGCACCAGCCACAGCTTTCTGTTACCCAGTCAAAAAGTCCCATGGAAACTAACTTCAGCCTTAGAATTAAAGCACTCATAACCTGTCTAAGTTGAAGGTGACACAGGCACCTCTCAGGCCTGTCCCTTCTATTCCCATACCCCACACACTGTACTTCCACCTGGCTACCTTGCCAGGCCCACATATATTTGGGCTTCTGGTTTGGTTTCTAAGGTGAGTGGTCCTGCACTTGTCTTAGCTGTACACTGTGAATTGCTGCTGCCATCAAAACACTGTTCCAACATTTTTTGTTCTGATTTTCTTTTTTGTTTTGTTTTGTTTTGAGGCAGGGTCTCCTTCTAGCCCCAGCTGGCCTGGAACTCACTATGTAGACCAGGCTGACCTGAACTCACAGAGATCCTGCCTCTGCCTTTCAAGTGCTAGGACTAAAGTCATGTACCCCCACACCTGGCTCTGTTTTGTTTTTTGAGGCAAAGTCTTTATATAGCCCAAGCTGGCCTCAAACTCCTGACAATTTTATTGCCTCAGCCTCTCAAGTGCTGGAATTGTAGGTGTGGACCAATATGCCCAACCCCCATAGCTGCTCCAAGTTCATGCATGCAACAGGCATGTCATGTCCAGATGACAGCATTTCATAGCTCCCCACCCCCATCCTCCAACTCTTGCATTCTTTCCACCCCCCTTTTCCATGATGTTCCCTGAGCCTTGGAGGGGGTGATATATCTATTTAGAGCCAAGCACTCCACTATCACATTTTTGTTTTGTTTTTGTTTTTGTTTTGTTTTGGGCGGTTTTTAAGACAGGGCCTCCCTGTAGCCCCAGCTGGCCTGGAACTCACTGTGTAGACTAGGCTAGTCTTCAACTCAGAGAGATCCACCTGCCTCTGCCTCCAGAATGCTGGCTTTAAAGGCATGCGCCTCCACACCTAGCTCCACTATCACTTATTCTTGACATTTTTGACCAGTTATGAGACTCTGCATTTACCCCTGCCCACTGCCAAAAGAAGCTTCTCGGGGCTGGAGAAATGACTCAGCAGTAAAAAACACTGACTGCTCTTGCAGAGGACCCGAGTTTGAGTCCTAGCACCCACATGGTGACTAACAACTGTCTATAATTCCAATTCCAGGAGCTCTGATACCCTCTTCTGACCTCCTCAGGCACTGTATAACATTGGTGCACTTACATGCATACAGGCATTACACTCATACACATAAAATTAAAAGATAATAAAATATTGAAAAAAAAGCTCTAAGGCTGAGAGCACACTGATGTATGGGTATAGACATAAATATTTATTTTTATTTTTTGGTCTTTTTGACACAGGGTCTCCCTGTAGCCCCAGCTGTCCTGAAACTCACTATGTAGACCAGGCTGGCCTTAAACTCACAGAGATCCCACCTGCCTCTGCCTCCTGAGTGCTAGGATTAAAGGCATGTGCCACCATGCCCATCCAAACATAAATATTTAGAAGGCATGACACCATGTCCATTTAGCAAAACAACAGTAGTGTGTCCCCCACCCCCATCCCAGGACCTATGACCCAGTCCTCTTCTTCATATATATATTTTTTCTTTCACCATATATATATAAATTTTAAATATTGAAGCAGGATCTCACTAAGTTGCCCAGGCTTACCTTGGACTGACTGTAGTCCAGGCAGGACTCAGCCTTCTGAGTCCTGGGATTTTTCTGTTCAGAATGCCACTTATTTTAAGACTGGCTAGGCCTTAGAGGTATGCACAGCATATGTCGTCCTGAAAGAATGATTTTTTAACTACTGATGCCTCCACCCAGTCCTCCCTGGGTGGATGCGTATGTGTGGCCCCTGCTTGAGGGTTCTGCACTATGACAGAGTACTTCCCTCAGGCAAGTACTTCTGTTGGCTGACCCAAGACTGGGTCTGCACATGTGTTGAAGTTCAACAGTGCATATCCTGTGAGGCTCTCTGCTGTTGGAGCTCGAGGACTGCTGCCTCTCATTGAGAGCTGGATACCCATCAACTGAATGCATACCTGTTCCCTTAGGTGTTCCCTTAGGTCTCCATCAATGCATATTCTGCTGTCCCTGATCTTTGATTGTTACCCACAGCTCTGTCTGAATTCCCTTCTGTAAGGCAGAATTCTGGGGTCCTATGCTTGCACAGTTAGCACTGTGGTAGACAGAGCCCACAGCTCTCTGGGGTGTGACACCTGCTCCCTTCCCCTCTGCAGTTTGTACCAGTGAGCATGCCTCACCCCAGATTCTGCATGCTGAGACCCTTGTCCACCTGGGAAATGGAGAAGGTGCTCTTTCTTCCTTTCTTTTTTCTTTCCCTTCCCTCTATTTTAGACAGGGTCTCGCTATGTAGCCCAGTGTTATATGACTTTTCCTGGGAGGTCACAAAACAACATCTATTCACACAGGGCTCCCACACATACCAAAGAAATGATTCCAGTCTAGCTTAGTGAACCCGTGAGTTTATTGGGGCTTCTTACAGGAGTGTGGAGGGCAGCTGCATCACTGAAAAGCCCACCCCAGCATGGGTGAGGATTCAAAAGCTACATTCCTGGTTCTGCATGACTTAAAGGCAGCTCAGCCAGTTGGAGTCTCCTCTCTCCAGCAGTTGTTAAATCTTGGAGAAGGGCCTTGTGAAGCTTGTAAGTAACTTCTTGAGCCTTCTAAGTTTTGTTTACTGCCTTAATCTTAAGGAGCCTCCATCTGGGATGGAATGTTTTGATTCCCAGACAATTGCTATACAATACTGAGGCTGCCCAGGAACTGTTGATCCTTTCCTGAATATTTGGTTATAGGTATGGTGTGGCAACAAACCTGGTTTTTGTTTTTGAGATGGTCTCATATAGCCTAGCTTGGTCTCAGACTTGCTATGTAGCTTAACCTTGTTAGGCCTTCATTCTGGTTCACCTTCCTTGCCTGGTGGATATGCATACCACATGGACACAGGATCGCTATGGCCCCTTCCAGGATGCCCATGCCTGTGGTTCTAGGGGATGCAACTCACCCAGCTGCTCAGGTTGTGTGTGATGCCTCTCAGCCCACCTAGCATTCTGCCCTGCAGGCCCCAGAAGGATGTGCCTCACAGATGCACCACCCACTTTGATGCTGTGGCCCAGATCCGTGGAGAAGCTTTTTTCTTCAAAGGTAACCCCTGGGCCCTGTGAAATAGAAGTCCCCTTGGCCCAGACCCAGCCCCTGCAACCACCTTCCATTCTGTCCCTCAGGCAAGTACTTCTGGCGGCTGACCCGAGACCGGCATCTAGTGTCCCTGCAGCCGGCTCAAATGCACCGCTTCTGGCGAGGCCTGCCGCTGCACCTGGACAGTGTGGACGCTGTGTATGAGCGTACCAGCGACCACAAGATCGTCTTCTTCAAAGGTGGGTGGATCTTCCCGATGTGCCACAGCTTGCCCTGACTTGCTTTGATGTCCCCTGGCCTACCCCAGCCTCCCCTGCACCCGGATGGCCTTGGCTATAACCAGCCCCTTGCACAGACCTTGCACTCCCATGCTGGTCTGAGATTTGTTCCACTGGTCTGAGAGAGCTGTTCATTCACTGTGCATGCTTTTCTCTTTAGACTCTGTTGAGCACCAACTGTAGGGGGCAGTGCCGGCACACAATGGGACTTCAAAAAAAAAAAGAAGGAAAAAAGGAAAGTCCCTGCCATGGATGTGGGGGTGGGGAGGATGAACAACTCCCACCCTTAGGAGGAAATTAATTCTAGGCAGCATCAAAGGTGATAGGGGAGAGAAGACTAAGCCAGGCAAAGCCTGTCTAGGAATCTGCCATTGGGCAAAGACTGCAGGAACAGGGTCTAAGCCAGGGAACAGCCAGTGTGAAGGCCCTGAGTCGGAAATAGCCCTGCTGAATGCAAAGAACTAAGAGAGCAGCAGTTAGGGCCTCAGAGGGGCCAGTAGATGGGAGGGAAACCCCTGGCAGCAGCCTCTGCCTCTACAATCCCATCCAGTTCCCAACTCTGGAGAAAGCATCCCAGACTTCATCACTGAACCCCAACAGGATATAGCTCTTTTTTTTTTTTTTTTTTTTTTTTTTAAGCAGGGTCTCCCTGTAGCCCCAGCTGTCCTAGAATTCACTATGTAGACCAGGCTGGAGATCCATCTGCCTCTGCCTCCCCAGTGCTGGAATTAAAGGTGTGTGCCACCACGCAGGGCAGGATGTAGCTCTTATATCCACATCTATACCAAGGAAAGGAAAAGGAGCCCCTGGCCAGGCATGGTAGTGCATACCTATAATCCCAAGTAGCTGAGGCTACAGGGAGACTGCCTCAAAAAGACCAAAAAAAGGGGACAGTGGGGCTACAGGTGTCACAGTTGCTTAAGTGCTTGCCTAGCATGCACAAAGCCCTGGGTTTGAGCCCCAAAACTGCATATACCAAGCATGGTAATCCCGGCACTTGGAAGGTAGAGACAGGAGGACTATAAACTCAAAGTCATAGCTAGTTCAAGGCCAGCTTAGGTTACATGAGATCCTGTCTCCAAAAGGAAGCAGCAAGGAGGAGTAAATAGGCAAGTGTGAGGGTCTGAGCCTCCTGAGCCCATGCATGGGTAGAAATGGGAATCTTGCCAAGCATGGTGGCACATGCCTTTAACTTAGCACTCGAGAGGCAGAGGCAGGCAGATCTCTGTGAAATCAAGGCCAGTCTGGTCTACATTGTGAGTTCCAAGCCAGCTGGGGCTACAGGGAGACTCTGTCTCCAAAACAACAACAACAACAACAAAAAAAAAAAACAGAGAAAGAGAGAAAGAAGGAAAAAAGGAAGGAAGGGAAGGAGGGAGGGAGGGAGGGAAAGGGAGGGAGGGGAATCTTCCTATCATAGCTAGGAGACAGAAACTTGGAATCAGTATGGGCAGGTGGCTTCCTTCAACTCAAAGGGGCCTCTGCCTCTCCATCTGCAGGTGGTGACAGCCCTGGGCCACCCTCCCAGCTCATCCTCTGCCCAGATCCCTATGAAGACACCAGGGCTTCTAATCCAGCATGGCCTCCTAAATTAATTATTTGACTCTTTGCTCTGACAAACTACCTGACTCCTTTTGGCTCGCAGTTCCGGGGGATACAGTCCATCATGGAGGGGAAGGCATGGTAGCAGGAAAGTGAGACCGCTGGCCCGTATTGTGTCCACAGACAGGAAAGATGAATGCTCAGCCTGCTTCCTCTCTATTCAGGACCTCAGTCCACAGAAAGGTGCCACCCACATTCAGGGTGGGTCTTCCCCTCTCTACTAATCTACTCTTTTTTTATTTTAATATTTTTTATGTGCACGAGTGTTTTGCCTGCATGTAAGTGCACCCATGTTGTGCAATGCCTGTGGAGGTCAGAAGAGGGCATGAGGTCCCTGGAAGTGGAGTTACAGATGATTCGTTAGCCCCCATGTGGGTGCCAGGAACTGAACCAGGGTCCTCTGCAAGAGTAGCCATTGCTCTTAACTGCTAAGCCATCTCTCCAGCTCCTACTCTTATTTTTGTATTTTATTTTATTATTTTTATTTTATGTGTATGTGTGTATTGCCTGCATAGTAGGTAAGTGCACCCGTGTCATGCAATACCCACAGAGGACAGAAGAGGCTGTCAGATCCCCTGGAACCAGAGTTACGGACAGTTGTTAACTGCCATGTGGGTGCTGGGATTCGAACCCAGGTCTTCTGCAAGAACAGTCAGTGTTCTTAACCACTGAGCCATCTCTCTACTCCCTACTCTTAAAAAAAAAATCCCTCACTTAGCCAGGTGTGGTGGTGCAGGCTTGTAGTCCCAGCACTTGGGAGGCAGAGGCAGGCAGATCTCTGATATATAGACCAGCCTGGTCTATATAGTGGGTTCCAGGCCAGCTGGGGCTACAGGGAAACCCTGTTTCAAAAAGACCAAAAAAAAAAAAAAAATCCCTCACAGGCATGTCCAAAGGCTTGTCTCTTGGTGATTTCACCTCATGTATGTCAAGTTGACAGTATTAACCATCATGTCTCTTTCGTTTTTTGTTTTTTTGAGACAGAATCTCACTATGCAGCCCAGGCTATCTTGGTACTCACTATATAGCCAAGGCTAACTTAGAATTCACAGCAATCCTCCTACCTCAGCCTCCCTCCCGAGTGATACGTTTATAGGCATGAGCCACTATGCCTGGCTTTTTCTCTGACATTCTTATGCCCAGTTGAGACTGAGCTGTGAACCCCAACACAGGTTGTTCCTAAGTCCCCTCTGAAGCAGTGAGGCCATAGCACAGTGACTGTATACCCTCATCTAGTACACAGACCCAGACACCTTCACCTGTATCCTCAAGGCCCTATCCAAGATCCCCTGTGCACTATGGTGTCTTTGGTCTCCATTCTGAAACATTCCCTCAGCCTTTCAAGCGTTAGCCCCACTTTCCTTCCAGCCCCAGGCCATCTCTCAAATGTCCTGTTTCCTCTGGATCAGGAACATCATCCAGGGATGTTCTGAGCCCTCCTGGCTGGTGATGGGCAGTGGTAGCCTGTTACCAGGAAGCCCTTGGGGACATCTGGGAACCATCTGAGCATCTTGCCCTGGATCCATCCCACACACTGGTGCCCCTGAATGGAGCCTGTCTGGCTTCCCAGCACTGTTTTGCTCCAACCAGCACATTTGTCCTTGTCCTTGTTCCCACTGAGCATAGCCTAAGAGTTCTTCAATGTCTTGCTTCTGTGTGAAGTCTCACTTGTATTTGGGCCTTCAACCAAGTGCCCAGTCCATCTTTGCCATAAAGGTGTCACCACCTAGACTGAAAAAGTAGCTCAGCTGGTAGAATGCTTTCCTAGGATGCAAGGAAGTCCTGGGTTTAATATCCAGTACCCCATAAAACAGGGTGTGGTGGTGTATGCCTGTAATCCCAGCACTGGAGAGGTGGAAGCAGGAGGATCAAAAGTTCAAGGTCCTTTCAGTTACATAATGAGTTCAAGGCCAGCCTAGGTTACATGAGACTGTATCTCTAAAAAGAGGAGAAGGATGTCCCTACTCCTCACATGTAATACAAATGAAGCAAGAGTGAGAGGCATCTTGGCTTTGTTACCAAAGCAGCTCCCTAAGCACTGGTTACCTGAACAATCCATACTGGGTGTACAGTAGGTGCTCAGTAAATGTTTGAGAGGGCTTCTCCTTGGTATGGTAATGTGGAATGACCACCTTGCACTCCCACCTGGGCAAGGATGGAAGATATGGGGAAAAGTCAGGACTGGAGCCACTGCACCAGCCCACGGCTCTTTCTCTCACCCCCAGGAGACAGATACTGGGTGTTTAAGGACAATAACGTAGAGGAAGGATACCCACGGCCTGTCTCGGACTTCAGCCTCCCGCCGGGTGGCATCGATGCTGTCTTCTCCTGGGCCCACAATGACAGGACTTATTTCTTTAAGGACCAGCTGTACTGGCGCTATGATGACCACACACGGCGCATGGACCCTGGCTACCCTGCCCAGGGCCCCCTGTGGAGGGGTGTCCCCAGCATGCTGGACGACGCCATGCGCTGGTCTGATGGTGAGCGCCAGGCAGGGGACAGTGCTATTTGGCCTGTTTCCTTGTCTGTAGGATGGGTATCATACAGGACAGGGTTGTTGGGGGGAATTTTCTGAACAGTGGAGTGCCCAATTGCTTGTCCATGAGCTCTGAGGGGCCCTAGCCCTTGTTACTCTGGGCTTGTTACCTCTCCCTTCAGCTTCTCTCTGCTCCTACTCAGTCTCTCCACCCACACTGGCCTCTGCTTCTCCCTCCCCAGCACTAGACTTTGCACCTGCAGGTAGCTGCAGCAGTTTCCACAGCACCCCCAGCCACAACCCTCTAACCCTCCCAATACCAGTACAGCTGCACACATGGCAGAGTCTGGGTTAAACCCCAGCAAGGCAGAGTGGAGGTCACCAGTCTATTCTTGTGTTCCACAGGCTCTTCCAGCTGCCTAAGCCAGGCTTATGTCTCTGACAGGTGTGGTCCAGATAGCCTGTCTGTCTAAGATGTCCTCAGTCCCACCAGGCAGCTTCCCTGTGATGGAGACACCAGCTCAGCCTTCCTTCTGTCCCTCCACAGGTGCATCTTACTTCTTCCGTGGCCAGGAGTACTGGAAGGTGCTAGATGGTGAGATGGAGGCAGCACCTGGGTACCCACAATCTACTGCTCGGGACTGGCTGGTATGCAGCGAGCCACTGGCGGGTGCAGAGGATGCAGGACCTGGGCCACAGGGCCGTAGTGGGGCACAGGATGACCTGGCCATGTGCTCCTGCACTTCAGATGCATACAAGTCTGCGCTGTCATCGCTGCTGCTGCTGCTGCTACTGCTGCTGCTGTCACTGCTGTGGGGCCTGCTGTGGACCTCACTTCCCTCCCAGGCACCCTGAGGGCAGTGCTGGCTTTGAGGAATCAAGGAGCCAGGGACCTACCAGCCAGTGGACCCGCAGGGGACATGCTCCTTCCCTTCTTCCTTACTTCACTGAACCCAGAGGTGCTGTGCCCTCCCCTAGAGTGAACCCCAACTGGGACAGGACACCCTACCAGTGCACTACATACCCTTCCTGTCTGGAGCAGCCATGGCACAGTGCCCCTTCCCTCTTCTGTGCACCATACTGTTTCATTGCACCTTACCAGACCACTGACCAGCCCAAGGCCAGCTGTCACAGTCCTGGGATGCCTTGCCTGTGCCAGAGCAGCTCTAATACCTGCACATGGACTGGTGGGGGTTAGAGAGGTCCTCCTAGTGTCCATAGGGATCACTGTGCTATTTCACAGATGAGATTGTTGAGGCCCAGATCGGGGAACAGGGTGGGAAATGGGCACTCATCTAGGAGTCTGATCTAGTGCCACTTGCAGCAGCTGGTGTCATCTGCTAGTGCAGGAGGATCAGTCACACTCAGGACCTGCCTGCAGGTGCACAGATGTTGGCCAGGGCACAGTATCTAGGCCTTGCTCTACCCATCTGGACCACAGCCATCCCTCCTCATCCTAGATAGCAGGAAGTGGAAACTATGTCCTGTTACCTCCTTCTCCATAGTCAGGAGAGACTTGTGGGTCCTCCTGGGATGCTGTTGGGCAGGGATGTGCCTATGGAGACATCTCCCATCCTTAAGACTCCCTGCTAGTGCCCACTGCTGGATCAAGATGGCCCATGGGGCTCTAGGCTGAGACCCTGTGGCTTAGACTCATGACTGTCCACTCCCTTGGCTACAGGGAACTTCTAATACCTGAAGCAAAAATGGGGTTAAGTTATGGTAGGATGGTTGGTTGAGCCCAGGCCCTACATAGGAAAACGGAACATAGGGTGGCAGTGAAAGGGGCAGCTATAGGGATCCTCCATATGTCCAAGTTAAGGCAGCAAAATTCCCCTGGAGCTGTTACACTATCACCTCTTGGCCTGGACTTGGGGAAGTAGGAACTATGGAAGAGGAGCTGCCTGAGTGATGAGCCTTCAGGACTGGTCCAGGAAGGTCCTCCGAGTGGGACTGAGGTAGAGGATCAAATGACCAGAAGACAGGCAGCCACAGGGAGGAATTACCAGGCTCAGGAGTTCTGGGGGTGGGATGGGTCTGGGAACTGAGGACAGGCCCAAGGGCTGGGACACCCAGGTAGGCTTGGAGGCATAGTAAGTTAGTTCATTCACTGAACATGATGAGACCTAAATGATCACATACCCCTCTTCAAATGACCTAGTCCCATCTCAGATGAAAAAGTCCTCTTTGCACCCTGGTCACACCACACTCCTGGCATTAGTGCCACTTCTTGGATCCTGGGTCAGGCTTGTGCCCATGAGGATGCGTGAGCAGCCAAGGCCAGCTCCCAGCCAGGCCTGGGCTTCCTCCATCTCCCCTCCTCAAGCCTGGTCACATCCTGCACCCACCTGACCATACTCTAGAACTAGGCACAGGTCCCCCCCACCTGTCAGGCCAGAGAGGATAAGCTAAGGTTCTGAGGCTTCCCTGTTATGGGGTCACCCCACTCTGCCCTATATCAAAGCACGTTCTATGGTGTCCCATGTGGTCCATCAGTCTGCAGGGCACAGCCATCCTGGACGATAAGGGAGAGTCCTAAGATTCTTTGTCACACAACACTGAGAGCCAGGCCTGCAGGCCAAAGGTGTCTAGATGGTATCTCACTTTAAAGCCCAAACTCTAATAAAACTTTTCTATATTGGCCAGGCTACAGCCCAGTGGTAGAACACTTGACTAGCATGCAAGAGGCAGGAGGACTTGGGTTTGATCCCTACCACTCAAAAAAACAAAGCCTTTTTCATGCCCTTTGTCTTGAGTGAAGCAGTTAACAGACACAGTTCTATGAAGCTTTCCTGTGCCTGCCTGCTTCCCTTCATTGATGCAGACACAGATCTTCTGGTGGGGAGGGGTGTAGGTGGGTGCCAATGGTACTGGCTTCCTCCAGGTTGTGCAGCTGGAGCTAGGAATGCTCTGCTGGCCCTCTATATTTTAGAACATGGTGTGTACTCATGTTCAGAGACTGCAAGGAAAGAGAAGGAACATTCTCCCTCCCAAATAGTTGGAGAGAATGATGGTGGCCTCTGAGCACTGCTTCAGGTTCCTACAGACCATGCCTCCTCCTGAGGTCAGAGTCTAGAAACAGCCTGGAATGTCAGTCAGGCTACCCAATTCTGAGAACCCCCCTCACATACCCTTTTGTCCCAACCACACCCTCTCCAGGAAAGGAGCCAACTCAGTGCCATGCTGCCCTTCAGTTGGTTTCTAGCCTGGCACTACTACCCCTATGACTTTGGCCCCTGTCTGACCCTGTTAGCTTGCCTGAAGTTTCCTGGGGCCACACACATCCAGCTCTTGTCCTGCAGCAACATCTGGTGTGATACTATACAGCCTTCCCTTCTAGACAAGTCACCCTTAAATACACATGAGAAGTTCTGATTCATGGTCTGTGAGTCCCAGGCTGAGCTGGTCCTCTTCTCAAGTAGTTGCTAGCCTGTGGCCACAGCGAAACCCTAGGATGGGGGTAAGAGGGTTCACACCACCCAGTGAGGGCCCAGGACTCTGTAAGGGAAGCTGAAGTCTTATAAGTAAATGTATATTCTGTGTATGGGGGAGAAGCTCAGAACATATTGGCCACAGCCACTCCAGCTTCTGCTTTACAGGTAGAGAAACTGAGGTAGCACCTTAGTCTGCCCAGGTTATATACTCCCTGTTCCTGGTAGCTAGTAGCCAAGTTGGGGCCTATGTGCCTTCAGGTAGCCCCTATTCACATGTATCCCCTCCTTGCTGTGTCCCTTTATGGTCAAAAGGACACTGGGTTTTTGCCTTCTTACAAGGCACCATCTGGGCAGGCAAGATAGCTCAGTGGGTAAAGGTGCCTGCCACCAAGGCTGACAACCTGAGTTCGGGACCTATATTGTGGAAGAAGAGAACCAGTCCTGCATATTGTCCTATTTTATGTGCACACAAGATAAAATATGATTTTTTGTTGTTGAGAGGCACCATCATGGGGATGGAGAGATGGCTCAATGGTTAAGAGCACTGGCTCCTCTTGTGGAAAACCTGGATTCGACTCCAGCACCCACATGACCCATATGGTGGCTAACAATTATCTGTAACTCATTCCAGGGTATCCAATACTCTCTTCCCTCCTCTGTAGGCACTATATGACATGGGTACACTTATATACATTCAGGCATAATGCTCATACACAGAAAATTTAAAAAGGCTGGGTGTGGTGGCTCTCATCTTTAATCCCAGCACTTGGGGGAGGCAGAGGCAGGTGGATCTCTGTGAGTTCAAGTCCAGCCTGGTCTACATAGTGAGTTCCAGGCCAGCTGGGGCTATTGGGAGACATTGTCTCAAAAAAGACCAAAACTAAATAATTAATTAATTAAAAAATAAAAAAGACACCATCCTGTCCTGAGGGCTGTACCTTATGTCCTCTCCTAACCTTTAACATTCCCAGAGACCCCAGCACCATCACCTTGGGGTCAGGGGTACAATTTAGTCTTTAAGATATGGGAAGGTGGGCCACAGTGCTGAGAAGCACAGCAAATGTATCAGATAGAAGCAGAGCTGTGCTGCCTGACCTTCCGTAGGTACTCAGTTACCCCGAACAACCACAGTAATGAATCCCATAACAACCCTGAGAGGAAAGGCAGTTACCTCCTACTCCAAATGAAGTAACCAGGGCCTGAGGGACAGTGAGCTTCAAAGACCAAGCCTATCATTGGCAAGAAGCCTGACCCACAGGCTCAAGGCCACACTGCAGCAGTCTCCCAGCTGCCTAGGCCCAAGTGGGTGAGACCATAAGTGACAAGGTGCACTATGCTGGGATCTCAGAGCACTGGCAGTGTCTTCCAGGGCTGCCCCTAGCCAGAACCTCCTCCCAACTTGCCTCTTGCCATCTCTCTCTGTCACCACCTTTCTATTGTCTCTCTGCATTCATCTGTTTCTGTCCATCTATCTATCTTGCTCCCTGACTTATCCTGTCCTAGGACCTTGTGTACTGCTGTGTCTAAAGAGCTTCAGGGCTGGCACCTCTGTCTACTGTGTACATTGGAGCTTTCTCTGGGCTGGAGCCTCCACATGGCCTGGGCTACCTCTCATAGCTTTCCTGGCATTCAGGTATTCATTCAACAAACACAGCTCAAAACAGGCAGACTACAAGTGGAATCTATGAGCATATATAATCTGTTACCATCAGCTGACTGGGCTGGGGTCCTTTTTCTCTACCCAAGAAAATAGATGAGGAGATGTTCTGCCAGTAATGGCAGTTTCCAGCTCTTGAGTGCCCAAGAACTACAGGCTAGACTGGGGAACCCAGAAGCTAATAGCTATAAGCTCTGAGAGCCAGGGGCCTATTCCTCCAGCTTTAAGAAATCAGGGACCCAAGGCTTTCAGTCAGGATGGAGACTTATTGTTTGGGGTTTTAACCACCAGAACTGCCAGCAGCAGTGAGCAGCAGTCAGCTGAGTAGCTCCTCTGTGAGGCCCCTTACTGGGGCTTTAGCTTCTACAGCAACTAATGTCACAACTCTAAGACCTATGATGGCAGGACCCTCAGCACTGACGAAGCTCTCTGCCCTAGGAGACCCTTTGGCTCTTGTGGCTTAACAGCTCCATGAATTCTTTTGGCAACAATTTCTCCTCTCTGTTTTTTTCCATGGCCTTCTTCAGCCAGCCCCAGTTTTCTGCCCTCTTTTGCCCCAGCTCCCTCCTCTTTTATGTTACCAGCTCAGCCCACCCTACTTCTGATAAAGAAGCCTCCCTTTATTAGGCCTTGTTAGAAATGAGTCTGGGGGGGGTCCCAAGAAAATGACCACAAAGCATTTCCACAAGGCTGTCAAGCTGCTCTGAATCCAGCAAGCACACCTTGTTAATATGACCTCTCCCTCTTACACCTAATGGCCTAGGTTTAGCCACATATTCTAAACCTGATTGGTTAATTTAAAGGGGCAGGGGGCATTCTAGTAAGAATCTTTAAAATTTAGGGATGTAGGGTTCCAACTATGTAGCCAGAGTCATAAGTCGGGGGGGGGATGAGAAAAACTACAATGCTATAAGTTCCAACTGACATGTTAAGAAACAAATAACATAGCTGGTTGTGGTGGCACATGACTTCAATTCCAGCACTCAGCAAGCAGAGGCAGGCGGATCTCTGTGAGTTCAAGACCAGCCTGGCCTACAGTAGTCCCTGGCCCAGCTGGGACTACAGCAAGACCCTGTCTCAAAAAAAAGATTAAAAAAAAAAGTAAATAAACAATATTAAGGTAGATATTAGCTCTGTAACATGAGTACTAAAAAGAAAGACAAGCATAAGTATTAAAATGTTT